GATGGTTCGAAAATAGGTTCTAGGTTTGTTATGCAGAATAAGAAACACTAATTTGTTTCATTGGTATGCTGCTTGAAGTCTCTGTATAGGCCTTATATGAATTTAGTAATCCTACAACTCTGCGAATAGTGTCAAATGCACGGTAAATTATTAAACCAACGGATTTATCAACACCAAGCCTCTATCCTTTAGATTCCATAGATTTTTGATATTTCTAGTTCCTCTGCTAGTCTCTAGCGCTGAGTAATTGATGGCGTGAGCGAGAGCAGAGTTCAGACTAAAGCGTATCGCGACCATCGCCGTCGACACCGCCCATCGGTCTAGAGAGGAGAAAATTATTGTCGGCTACTTCAATTCAAGGACAAGCTGAAATTCATATTGTTTTTCCATACTTCATTCACCATGATTTATTCTTAATACCGCTATTGCTCGTTGATGAACTACTTCGTTTCCTTCATCAATTCATGAGCCTTTGCTGTGCCGAAAAGTTGCTAAATTGCTTTTTCTTAATAGGAGTGGTAAAAATGAAATGAAACCAATTTTAACCTATGAAACTTATGAAACAGCTGCGCTTATAGTCGAGAAAATTTGCCAAGCTGTGCAGTTCCAAGTAACACCGTCTGACTTCTCCTCATCTCTGTCTTTCTTTTTCAGAGAAAAAAGGACGAAATTCATGTTTTGTATTATAACCCTATTGTAACGCTACTATAACGCTATGGATAATTTGATGTTGCTAAGGACGTAGTATGGTTTATGGCGTAGTATGGTTTTTTGAAGCAACACTTTGAGTTATTAACTAAATGCATTTCTTATTGATGAAAAACATTGAATTAAATACATTTCTTCCACTTACCATAATTGCGTATTTAATGAGAAGTTTCGGAGATATCCAAATTATCTGCATCAATTGTAACCTTGTTAATCCACAAGTTAATCGAGCAGGCGTCAGTAAAGCTCCATTCGCTTCTCTCTCACGCTACAACCATCCATTGCTCTTCACAGGCTAGAAGAACGATGGATTTACATTGACTTGAACTGTTGTGGAGATGACCTCGAAGTGTTTCTTGTGCACTTTCTAGTTACTAGATTTCAAATTTTAGCTGAATAAACGTACAAGATACAATTTTACCATGCAAAAGAGCACCCTGGTTCTTATGAATGAATGTGTCTACCTAAATAAGAAGTATATGTCAATTAGGCTTTGGAGAAGCTGAAGGCGTGCTAGATAGCTTCAAGATTGAGCGGCTCAGCGTCTCTGACATTAGGGAGGCCTATTCATATAGAGTATTCCCCATGTTTCTTTAACTAAGGGTTCGAAATGTGTATCTTTTTTCCGTTCAGGAGAACTGCTGCACTATCTTACGAACTATCTTTGTTAAGCTAGCGCGAGCTTGTTATCACGTGTTCGCGGAGTACGACAGCTGACGTTTCGGCGATTTCACCTTCTTCAGAGCCTGGACGTATTCCATATTCATGCTTTGTTATTTGGTCAATATTCCCTTGTACTAATGAAAACCTAATTCATAAACAAAAACAAGACGTAATAGGCAGCCTTTTTTGTTTTGGTTTATGAATTAGGTTCTCCCTAGTACTAAGAAATATTGGCCGAATAACGAAATATCTGTATAGAATAAAAATCAAACCTCCGAGGAAGTAGAATTTGCCGAGTCATCAGCCATCGTAACTCAAGAACAGATGTTGGCAACCTCGCGTTAGCTCAACACGAATAGTTCGTAAGATCTTATTTAATCATTAATGCCGAGGTTGGTTAAAAGTCAGCTTTTCAAATTACTACACTTTTTTATAGCGTCTATTGAATCAAGAAAACAATTATACAGAGTTCAGACGCAAATGATGTCCAATAGGTCGCTGCCGGTACGTGTTCGACCTGCTCGCATGACCATAGTTAGGATAAAAGCCAAAAAATTGCATCCTGGATTATGGATTCTGAGAGCTTTCCTAAGATGTTTGGGGACTACAAAATTCTTCAACCATTTTCGTTGCTCGGAACGGCAATCGATCGGACAACGTTCATTGTCTTATCGTTCTCACTGTAAATCTTCGCTAAGTACAAATGCTTGAATTTTTTATAATTGAATTTGCTTGCAACTGTTTGTAGTTAGAAAACTTGCTTTCATGTCAAGAAGAACTGCACTTTTATCGCTGCAGAGTTTATGACTTGACGTCGTTCGTATTCTCCCTTCTCGACGGCATCTTGTTTAATTACTAACGCTAATGCAGATTTGAACTTTTAAATCTAAGCTTTCTTCTACTTGCTCGTATTTTATATCACCTAACCGTGGTTTCATGATGAGTTCTCATTGGGGTTGACTGCTGCTTTAAGTTCGTATGCCATTTTAAGGTTAAAATAAGGGAACGACTTACTGGCAAACAGTTTCTGTGACTGCGCTAGAGTCACTTAATCTCCTTTGAAACATGCGTAGAGAAAGGAATAGAAAATCATGTGAGAGTATATAAGATAGCATAACTAAAGAACTAAATTGGCCTAACTAATTAGTGGAATGCCTGACCGTTCCACGTGGTTCGGCTTTAGAAGGGAAATTAGCTTTTAACCTGAGTCAAGCGGCCATTTTTATTATCTCATCGTTGCAGACTCAATTCGTAGTGCCAATGACCATTCAATAGGTTTTGCGTAAATTCGAAAGCGCAGTGGCAGTGATGCCGCTCATGATGGGTACGGTGCTCGTTCGACCTTGCCCCGGAGCTACCGAGCCTCTCATCCCCCCTGGGTCGGAAAATTGGTACCAGACTTGCTCGCAGTTAGCTAACCGCCTGCATTCTACGTGAAACCTTTCTGGCATGGACATCCCAGGACTCCAGGGGAGAATGGACTCGACGAAAATCTTGAACCAGGAATGGAACCAATACCCAGAAGTTCGAAGGCCTTCGTTGATGTCGAATGCGAGGAAACGAATTCTATTGAAAAGTGCTGAGATCCGCACAGTGAGTTTGAACGCAGGTTGTGTAAATTAATTAATAATAAACAATAAGAAAAGAAGTAGCAAACTCATATGGCGCTTTCCAGGTCTTAGACAATATGTTATAAGTGGTTCAAAGGAGATGTATTTACCCTAAGATACAGATGGACATAGAAGATGGACTCCATATCTCTTTTTCAATGGGCTCACTTATATGCCCCATTCATTACCATAACCATGTTCCTGAAAACACGAGTGGATACACTCGTGTGTATAATGTTCGTATCATGAATATCTACAGAATACCTTCAATCAAGTAATTACGAAGTGTCTAAAGCTGTTTGGGATCACCTCCGTCAAACAAGTCACACCTCTACCCTAGGAAATTTTGGCATGCTAGCAGTGATTCCACTCAGCTATCATAGCATGGTATTGCGAATTACCTTTGGATGCCGTGTTGCCGAAAGCGTCCAAAATGATGTTCGTCCTTGATAAAATTGTCCGTTGCCTTGACCGACGGAATTCCATCTTACAACGATGTAACGCTACGAGGAATATTGAACACTTTACTGGCACACGATCTTGTGATAGACGAGATTTCAGATGATAGAAATCCATGTTTTGTCATTCCAGTTGCAGTTTTCTACAATCTTTTCATTTCATAAGGTGGAAAAGAACATTATGGACAACTTCATAATTATCAGATATTTAGCACAGTATGCAGTATATAAAAAATGTGATAAGTTAACGTTATCAGTGCCGGTTTTGCGGAGGACAGAACATGCGATCCTTTCTCTTGAGTTATCTCAGTGCTACACTACGATACCTAGAACAACAACAAATACAACGCTTACTTACTTAGAATCCTCACTTGCTCGGTTGATTGTTTGTGTTCACAGTAGTGACTACTAGATTTACAACTGTGTATGATGAATAATCCTATTAGCGTATTCATCATATAACAAGTCATCTAAATGATCTACGAAATATATGGATCGTTCGAAAAACTTTATAGATAGCCGAATTTCATTATGGTGAAGGAGGATGCCCATTACATACAGAAACTTTATTACAGTGATGACAGCCGACTCAGGAAGTAAGCAAGCCGACAAGGTGATCTCGGATCAGTTTCTTGCCGCCGAACTCGACGAGGTGGAAAAATTACACAAGGAAGCCGAAACGGTGATATTTTCTCTTATATTGGTGTCAGTCGCAGTTCTATCAAGTAGACCTGTGTAGAGTGGACAAAGTCATTCATTAAAGCTTTTATTCCTTCTAAATCAAACCTTTCAATAATACGGTAATCAATAGCTCTGACATTAAGAAAGTCATTCAGTGGTGTTTTGAATGTAAGAAAAATTCATACACTGAACTGGGTGAACGAACCAATTCTAAGTGTCGAAATAAGTTCTCACCATTTTTATACTTCTTCGGTCATCTGAGACATCACTGTCTTATCGTTATGATACGTCCATATTAAAGCACTAAGCCATTGTTATGATCAGTGATAATCACCCTGATTACCACATATAAATTGCTACACCAAGAATAATGAGAGCAAAATAAGCATAGGAATTCTGAAACGAAGAATGAAAATATGGAATTTAAGGGATCTTGTCGAATCCATTTAATGCAAAGTTAAGAGGTTTCTAGGAAAGACGAAGAATTGTCGGAGATTTTGAGCTTTTCCCACTATAGAGAGGCGACCATTAACATTTCTAAGCAATGTCAATAATCTACTTAATATTCATATTGTGCTTAACGTGCTTATTGTTGTCGCCGAAAATAAGCCGGGTGTAGAGCCGTAGGACATACGAAACCATAAAACTTTTACAATCTTTTTATTAAACACTTTCTTGTTACTTCGTGTTTTTTACCACTATTTACGATGTTCGAAACTTCATCTGTCTGTCATTGTTGTGACAAAAGTTGTACAGATAAGAAATATCATGTCAGATCGAATGATTCTAGACTACACAGTGGAGCCAAGGATTGCTTTCTTGAGAAGCATTGGAAAAGTGTTCCTTCAAATAACCAGAAGGCTTTCAGATTCCGTATGAAATGGAAATTGTTTGGCGTAATGTAATTCTTTTCGCTGCACTTCATATTGGAGCTGTAATCGGATTATATCAGCTGATCTTCATTGCCAAATGGCCGACAGTGTTCTGGAGTAAGTGAATAGCTAGTGATACTTACTAATACTTACACGTGTAGACAGACCGTCTTAATATGTCAGCGTCTCATTGTCCTCCAATCATCCATGGCTATGGTCGAGTTTGATTGTGGACTTACAATTTGAGGTTCTGTGGACTAAACTCACCATTGATATACTAAATAGGGGTTAAGCGTGATTTTCCTTGGAAACCCGAGACTACTATGCTAAGGGGGGTGTTGGGTCATAACCGTGGACACTTACCGGCTGTTTTGTATCTAACGGGACTTTGCTATCTTGTGAATGGGATTCTTCTTGAACAATAACGATTCCTGTAGTGGCAACCAATCCCACGATTCAATAGCAAGTCGAGGGTTGAGGAACAAGTCTAGTCCGTTAAAGTTGTTGAACTTTTCGACTCTATTTTGATATTTAGGCTCTTCAGAACAACGTGAAACGAAACTCAAAATTGCCCGAAAATTGATGTGACAAATCAAGGGCGCTGGTTAGTGTCGTGGAATGCATGTGTCCCTGGAAAGGGTTCTTGAGGGAAAGGGAAAGGAAATCACGGGTTTGAATCCCAACTCAGATTCCAAGTTTTGCTCATATCTCACCACCTTTGTGGTTGTATTGCACGTAATACCCTGTCATAAAAAAGAAAAAAAGAATGGGGAGTAAATAAAGTAAACATTAAGTCAGAAAGTTGTTCGTGACTGCTCCCTTTCCATTAGTAGTGCTCCGCATGTGAAATTTCTACAAGAATACGGTCACGAGATCTAAAATAAAGTGGAAAAATTGGATTGTGATAACTGCCACGACCGACTTTCTATTAACCTCGGCATTGATCAAGTAATACGAAACTGTAGCTCAGGATAGGTGTAGAGGAAATCGTAGGCCTCCAAACGACAACTCTAGCGATAGAAGGGTCCCGTTTATCCTACCCTTCATCTCAAATGATATAAGTACAGCTATAAAACGCTGCTTATGAAGGGCGGGCTTAGAGAATTCGGTGAGCGTAGTTGAAATACCACCGAGTAATCTTAAGCGCCAGCTAGTTCGTAACCGCCTATATGACCGTCTATGTGCAACTCAAAATTGCACAATTTGCCCCAGTGGTAGAGACGGTGATTGCATGAGCTCGGGTATAGTTTATCTGATCTCCTGTAAGACGTGTGGTGACGAATACATTGGCGAAACGGGTAGACCCCTCTGTGTCCGCATGAAAGAACACCTAGCCGGCAAAAATAGACCAAATACCCCGCTAGGCACGCATAGGACCCAGAGACATAACGGGGACGACTTCGAAGTATGTGTCACGATCCTCGCACGCGAATCAAGAACACAGGCGCGAAANTAGGTGTAGAGGAAATCGTAGGCCTCCAAACGACAACTCTAGCGATAGAAGGGTCCCGTTTATCCTACCCTTCATCTCAAATGATATAAGTACAGCTATAAAACGCTGCTTATGAAGGGCGGGCTTAGAGAATTCGGTGAGCGTAGTTGAAATACCACCGAGTAATCTTAAGCGCCAGCTAGTTCGTAACCGCCTATATGACCGTCTATGTGCAACTCAAAATTGCACAATTTGCCCCAGTGGTAGAGACGGTGATTGCATGAGCTCGGGTATAGTTTATCTGATCTCCTGTAAGACGTGTGGTGACGAATACATTGGCGAAACGGGTAGACCCCTCTGTGTCCGCATGAAAGAACACCTAGCCGGCAAAAATAGACCAAATACCCCGCTAGGCACGCATAGGACCCAGAGACATAACGGGGACGACTTCGAAGTATGTGTCACGATCCTCGCACGCGAATCAAGAACACAGGCGCGAAAAACTCTTGAGGCACTCTGGATTAATTCCAGAAATCCGAAAATGAACCGCAGGGAAGAATGCCTCATTATCACGCGTGATATAGGGCAGTATATAAAACTGCTTTTCTGATGTGAGGGGCACATTATACTTCCACGTGATTTCTGTGCGGTTGGTCTCTACGTGACATACTTAGTGGAAACCTCATAGGAAGCGGTGAGTGTGCAAAGCTGTGTTCAAAGTGATTGAAATCTTGGTTTAGAGTTTCTTTGTTTGGTTATGGAGGCGTCTGGCCGAGTGGATTGCTGTCAACTTGACCTTTCCAGGCTCTGAGGAAGGCGAAATCCGCCGAAACGTCAGCTTAATCGTGAACAAAGAACAATAACACCTCCCGTTTGCTCAACAAAAATACGAAGAAAATTACTTGAATTGTGATACTCTCATTTTCGTTGCACATGTTAGAAAGGCCAAGACAATCATTCTATCTGGAAGGAAATGTCACCATGGCTTAAGTACGGCTTCATAGCGATTGAGCATTTGCACTATTTAGCTTAAATGCTCAGATAACCAATTTCTGTCGTTTTATCGCTACCTATATCAATGAAAAAATATGGCGTTTTCGAGAGGTCTGAAAGTTTTCTCCTTAAGGAGCCAGGGATTGCAAAAAAAGGCATTATCAATCCCTAACCACAAGAAAGCTCCGGGACGACAGATTTCAGTGATATAGGTCTACTTATAGTAACTCGGCTCATAGTTCATAGATGAATTAGTGGCACTTCAACCCATTTGACCTTTTCCAGAGATATCAAATGTCTACTGAGCTCGATCCCGAAAACACTAATTTGCTACGATCAAGGGCTAAACCATACATAGATAAAATATGTCGTTGTACAATCAATGATCGACATCGAACATTAGACGTGATGAAGAATTAAGTATAAATCCTCACCAGACACAATCGTCTTTTTCAGCATTCTTTTTGCATGTAGCAGGTGCGATTGGTGTTACAGCTGGGGCACATCGTTTGTGGTCTCATAGGGCTTATAAAGCCAATCTGCCCTATCGTATTCTATTGATGCTTATGGACACCACAGCATTTCAGGTCAGCACATTCATATCCTACTAGCTTACTACTAGTCCTCGATTACTTTTTGTTAGGACTTTCAAAACCTCGATCTCTCGTCGCGCAATTGCAAATTCCAGAAAAGTAATAAGAAAAATGGGAACTTGTGCACAGCATCATTTTCTGAGATCACCTTTAACTGTCCTTTGAACAACGCAGTTGAAAACTCTGACTACAAGCTAAAGGACTGCAACACTGTAGTAGTTTTGCCTAGAATGATGTCATCGAATGGGCCCGAGATCATCGGTGCCACCACAAGTGGACTGACACTCATGCTGATCCACACAATACAAACCGAGGATTCTTCTTCTCGCATATGGGATGGCTGCTAGTGAAGAAACATCCACAGGCTAGAGTTTTCTTAACATCACACTGTATTTGTTAACTATGCTTATCTACCAGAGTAGCTCGAACCACTGTTAACTATTTTAAACAGTGCTAAGAATTACTGAAGAGAATGAATTCACAATCTTCTAATGAAAAGATTGCGATAATAAGTAGTAGTTTCATAATAGCAAAGACCACGTCGTAAGTACGATAGATGAGAAGAGAAAATTCAGATCAAGGAACAAGGCAAGAAACTCGACTTATCCGACCTATTCGCAGATCCAGTGTTAGTGTTTCAGAGGAAGTACGTCTTTTTTCAGATGGATTTAAACACTCATACTATCTTCAGCAAGTCAACTTCAGTACTTATATCAACATTTACAACACAGCAGAGTCGTGTTGAAGGTATTATACTCCAATGGTGATTCTGTTCTGCTTCCTTTTGCCAACAGTGATTCCCGTACGATTCTGGGGCGAATCTGTATTCATTGCATTCTATACGGCGGCGCTATTTCGTTACTGTTTCCTACTTCATGCCACCTGGTTCATTAACAGCGTTGCCCATATGTGAGTGTTTGTTATTGTTTTATTAGCTTGGCGACGATGTTACAGACTATTACTCAATTCTTCGAAAATGATACTCAAGTAGTCAGTAATCGTCAGTAATGGATTAATGAGGTACCAGGAAAATAGAAGACTTGAAATCCTAAACCTTCAAGTAAGATAAACCTATCGGTGTTGATCTATCCCTGAGGGATGCGTCATGCATTCGACTTCATTAAACATCATTGGAGATGGTTGAATGCATATCTGGCCTTTACAATGACTCGTGGTGGCTTGCCGATGTATCGAGCAAGTGCTGCTATCCTCCCAGAGAAGTCTGGTACCAATTTGCAGACCCCGAAATAATAGCAAGGTTGATGAGTCTGGGAAGCATGGATCGATTCAGGTGTATTGTATAGCGCGTACGAATCCTGTGCTATATGCTTTTGCAGCTATGTTCCAATAATGTGCATATTGCTGTAGCGTACGGTATCTTTGTTTAATGTAGCTTATTTTAATAAGTGCTGACCAACCAAGTTCGTTACTAATTTCATTCACCATACCATTTCCTTTATTCTTGTCGTTTACTACTTGACAAACTAAAGACTGAGCTGTAATAAAAGATTTCACGACAGATTATCTCGTTTTCAAGGTTCGGCTACAAGCCTTATGACTCCCGTATATCTCCAGTGGAATCAGTGTGGACATCCGTCGCTGCAGTTGGTGAAGGTGGTCACAACTTCCATCATACGTTCCCGCAGGTATAGCACTCACCAAATGTAGAGAAGAAAAAGAAAGAAAGCAAATCATCAATGGGCCAATCATTTTTAAAATAAGATCTTCACCTAAAATATTTGGACGTTGTGAAAAATGAGCCGCACATGATTTCCACGTATGTTGTCCTCATCCTCGTCAGCTTCTTGATTACTTTTTGAATTTCACGATGTTCAATATGCAAAAGAACCCCTTTCTTCATTAGGAAGATCTATAGAACATATAAAGCGCATTTATTTACTGGTAAATTTCGTTTAAAAGAAAAACAGAATTCACTAACCCAAGAAGTAAAACAAAGAAAGATGGGATTAAGGTGAAAAAAGAAGATATTCCTGAAGATATGGTTTTGAAAAAGGGTAGAGATAAAACGTACCAACATATAGGACAATGTAGGAAGAATAAATTTCATGTGTGGAAGAAATACGCGTGAACAGAAAACAGCCTCGTCATCCGAGACAAGTTTTACCCGATGCTCGTGGTCGTTAATATCTCAATTCAGATAATTATACTGTCTTTATTATTAGAGTGGTGTTCTTCAGGATTATCGAGCATCCGAATATTCATTAAAGTTGAACTGGACCAGCATCTTTATTGATGCGTTCGCTGCAATCGGATGGGTGTACGACCGAAAACACGTGTCCGAGGAGTTTATACGACGACAATGTGCCAATTACGGTGATCCTGATAAAAGAGGCAAATGGTCTTCGTATCTCTGAGCCAACTGACAAAATTAATCAGTACTTGATCGTTTGCAAGGTCCATGGTGAACGGTAGAAAGTATCACGCTGAACTGCACTATATCTTAATCATTGAAGTAGATAAACACTTTTTATTTGTGGAATTGTGCACATCGAAAAACAAGTCAGATTTAAGTGTACTTGATTGTGAGAATAAAGTACTACACAAAAAATTTATTTCCAAAGAAGTGCATGGAAACGATGAGAAACGATACTTACAGCATCGTGTTTTCGGCGCAGTCATTGGCCCCAATTTTCTTCGTATGTAAGAGCTCGTCTTTTTAAAGAAAATTGACCGAGAAATGAAGGGTCAAAAAAGCAAGGAGTGTTCAACTTCAAACGTATTTCAGATTATATATATATATATATATATATGTATGTATGTATGTAATATATACATATATGATAGATTTGGAATTGAATACGTTGGCTGTATGGAGGATATATATAGAAGCTAATCAACGCTCAAAACAAAAACATGAAATCATAAAGGAACAACAATAACAACTAACGCTTGCATTTGATCAACAATATTTTAACAAACGGTTGTGAAACAGTGATAAGAATTAAGTCGGCACATCTCTACCTACAAGCGGTCCAGATGGGACGAAGGAAATGGAAATTGTGCTAAGGTACGAAAGATTAGGGAGGATGACCAATCACTAGTTAAGATAGATAGATCTAACTCCCAATTTGCAATTAACGAACCTGCAAGCGGTTGAATTCAATAAGCCTTTGTCACATAAAATATCATCAATCCTTGAAAGATCAGTATTCAAGACATCTGAAATCTCAAAACACATTTTTCTAGTCACATTAGAAGTACGGTTTATTAGCCATGAACCATAACAGACCATGTATACTCCAGAAATGAGGAAACACCTCATCAGAATTTAGGTCCTTTACGAATATTCAACAGTTTGCCTTTCTTGCGCTTTATGGACTTCTTGAACTTTCCTGGGATCTCTTCGGAGTCGTCAATGTCATCCAGACCTCTTTAAATTAAAAAATACCAATTATTGGAATTTGGGAAATAATAAGTAGATAAAAAGTCGTATAGAATGAAAACAGAAGCAAGCGTCACCGTTTCCTGTTCTTCTTTTTCTTGTCTGCCATTTCTTTCAACTCTTTCACAGCTAATTCATTTGCCTCTTGAGTTCTTTCAACTAATAACATAACTTCTTTCTCCACACACGGGTATTCCGTCAGTTTTTTGCCTGAAATTTCGATTAGTTCTGATGGCGAAACGTTTCAGCTTCAAGTTTTAATCTTCGTTTTTGTTTTAATTGATCCGTCTTCAAGTCTACTGTGCAGATCCCAGCACTTCTCAAATTCGATTCGTTTCCTCGCATCCACTGTCCAAGAAGATTTCCCTACTTCTAGATGTAACTTCGGCCGCTTCTTGAGGATTTTCATTTCATTCTGAATGTCGTAAAACGCTGGACGAACAATCCTCCCTGGAGTCCTGAGAAAGCCGGGTTTGGACGTTCCTAATTGGATTGCAGTGATTTTTTTCAGACAAATCCAGTAACAATTTCCCGACCCTGGAGAGATAAGAATACATTATGACGGACTTGGCCCGGCAAATAGCCATCTCCAATGGCTACGAAATAGTAACCCCACGAGATAAGTTTACAAGGAGAACGACGCGCCCACGCGAAACGCTTGGCCAAAACAAAATCCCGTTTATGTTGCCTTTTATAAGCGGTGAAGTAAGCGCAGCTATAAAACGATGCTTAAGAAGGGCAGGTCTAGAGGAATCGGTAGCGATAGTTGAAATACCACCGGCTACTCTACGTCGTCGGTTAGTTCATAACCGCCTGTATGACCGTCTGTGTGAAACAACAAATTGCGTAATTTGTCCTTATGCCCGGAACGGTGATTGCAGGAGTTCAGGTACGATATACCTGATCTCTTGTAATAACTGCGGAGATGAATATATTGGCGAAACGGGCAGACCTTTGTGTATCCGTGTAAAAGAACACCTAGATGGCAAACGAAAACTAAGACGAAGCACCCCACTAGGCACGCATAGGATACAAAAGCATAGCGGAGACGATTTTGAAGTAAAAGTCAATTTCCTTGCACAGGAGTCCAAAACACCAGCGCGAAAACTCCTAGAGGCTTTTTGGATCAATACCAAAAACCCTACAATGAATAGCAGGGACGAATACCCAGAGGTCATACGCGACCTGATCCCGTACGTTCGCATCGATTTTTGATGTGGGATAGTGCAGTCGTCAACCACATGCGACTATAATCAGCTGTTCTAAACTTCCTCATTGGAAGTCACGAAAAAGCGGTGGGTTTTTCGAGAAGTTGTTGATCGTGTAATTACCAAAGAGTCTTTCGTCTTTGTGTAAGTGTTATTGAAGCGTTTGGCCTACTAGATTGTATATCAGCATACCCTTCCAGGCTCTGAAGAAGGCGATACTGCCGAAACGTCAGCTAGCGTTGTATTGTATTGTGTTTTTTATGGAAGTAAATGTATGCTGTTTAAAAACCTCGCGATTGCTGAACAAGAAAACGACACATTCATATTCCAATGCCGAAGTTAAGAGAAAGTCGATCCTGGGAACTATTACAAGAATACATTATGTTTCATTTAAAGAAAAACGTCTGGGTGCTCTGAATAAATTCAAAGGCAAACTAAAGGACATACTAGTATGTGTACACCACTGTGCTATCCGCCCATTCAAAATTTAAATATGCTTAAAAAAGGATAAAGTTATCTGCTCTGATCAACCCCAGAAAGACGCGCCATGAATTCGACATCATTAAGCATTGTTAGAGATTATTAAAATCATATCTGGCCTTTACAATGACTTCCAGTGGCCTACCGATGTATCGATCCAGTGCCGCTATCCTCTCAAACAAGTCTGGCACGAATTCACCAAGCCATGAGGGATGGAAGCATTGATGAGCCTTGGGTACAGGGATCGATTCTATGTGTATAGCAGGGCGTCTCCGACCACTGCGGTACACGCGCCCCAAATGCTAGGAGTACCCCATTCTACACAAGTAAGCAATGGGATCCGAAGCTCCGATCCGCGTCAACGATCAAAAATCAAAGATGCCGTTCTGTACGCCAAACAGTCGAAGGTAAGGTAGGCCGTACACGTTATGCGTATAAATGACAACCGATGGACAAGAGCCGTTAGTGACTAGATTCCACGGGATGTCAAACGTACTGCAGGAAGACCACCGACCCGATGGTCAGAGTTCTTCACTAAGAGCCTTGAAGAAAGATATGATGCTCGACGAGTCCCTAGAGCGAACAGAACCACTGGGCTACTGTTGCACGCGACATCGAAAAATGGAAGATTTACTGGCGTCCGCTCGAGTCACTCGACGATCAACGGGATTACAGGTGATACAGGTGAATATAAATATCAAGGAAACATAAAACAATATTTAACTGCATCATTAAGACCACTTACCTATATGGACCTCAATTTTTTGGTAGACTTCTACATCATACTGAGTGACGAAAGTAATAGCAAGCCCAGCACGTCCAGCGCGAGCCGTACGGCCAACCTGAAAAAGGAGTACGCTACAATCACAGCATGAATTCTTACAAGACGATAACAATTCGGCTGGTCCATCCTTCTCTTTTGTACAAGAATTTATTCAAAATGATTCTGACGGTGTCAATACCACTAAAAATTGAATACTACTTACTCTATGGATATAATCTTTTGATTGAGAAGGTACATCATAATTGATAACCAAGTCAACATGAGGAATATCGAGACCTGAAGAACATTACAGAAGTGAGAACGGATTTAAAATACCGGATGTAATAAAGGTTATTTTTTAAATTCACTTAATGCTAATCGTTCCATGAACGCATGATAAAGTATAAAAGGATAAAGCTCTCGACAATGATTAGTGCCAGAGGGATGCACCCTGCATTCGTCTTCACTAAGCATCGCTGGAGGTGACTGAATGCACATCTGGCCCTTACAATGACTCGCGGTGCCTACCCATATATCGAGCTGCTATCCTCTCAGACAAGTCTGGTATCAGTTTGCTGACTCCAGAGGAATGGAGCACTTAGTGAGCCTGAAGCGCCGGGATCGATCCCATGTGTACTAATGTAGGGCGCCTCCTCCGACCACTGCACTAAACGCGCCCTTGTCTCGTTGGAGGAAGGCGTGACAATAATGGTTAATAATAAAACTATAATGAAAGGACTTCAGTAACAAATGAAAAAAAATCGAAAGCAAAGTGGAAATCTTTCAATCTCAAGAAAAAACACCTCTTGAAGCGACATCCGTACATACTAGTATGTCCTTCAGTTTGCCTTTGAATTTATTCAGAGCACCCAGACGTTTTTCCTTAAATGAAACATAATGTAAACATGTATTCAGCAAAGGTAGAGGGTTTCTCTGACCTGACCCATTTGTCCGTGAAGAGGTACAGCCTGCATACCCAATTGCCTCAACAACATAGCAATCTAAACGGTATACAACAGCTTGCAATAATAATATAATAATAATAGTAATAGACCACAATAATGAAATCTTGTAATAATCACCTGCATAGCGCTATTACACGTAGCGCAGAAAACTATAGCTGTACTCCCAGCAAGTTCATTCAATAGATACACTAAGTACGCTTCCTAAACTTGAATACAATCAGCATGGAAAACAACAAGTCTACCCAAGTTCATCCATAAGTCCATAACAATGAATGGGAATGCTCACTTTGTACTTGAAAGGTATAAAAATATAGTGTTGTCTCAACTTCTCAACAGTTTGGTATCGTGTGGACACTTCCACTCGAACAGGATCTTTTAGCGATGCTCTTTCAAGTTTAGCAACCTGAACAATGAACACTGCTTCACCTTTTGAACAGTCGTGTAAAGAAGAAGTGACTGGGACATCTATATCACTTCGAAAGAAGAATTATAAAGACAGTGTTAACTTCTTATGTAATACCCACTACAGTTTTTCACGGCAGGGTATTATGTAAAATAAAACCACAATGGTGATGAGATACTTGAACTCCGGACCATGAGTGTTTGCGGTGGGGATCGAACCCGACATTACCCTTTCCGGGGACTAACGCGCTCACTACCACATCATACGGGCCCTTCGTTTCGCCCCTCTCTCAGCCAGTTTTCTATCTACCAATGCCATCATCAATCACCCGTAATAGCGTGTTCGATCCCCAACGCAGACACCTGCAGTTGGGAGTTTTGCAAATATCTCAGCACCATTGTGCTTACAAACACGATTTCATTGATAGAAGTTAAAAATCTTACCTTCTTAGTCATTGTTGCTGAAAACAAGTACGTCCTTCGATCCTTCGGGATAACTCTCAAGATTTTATCAAGTTCCACCTAAAAGCAGGGCGGAAGGTGAAGTCACTAATGGCCATAAACAATGTATACACTAAAAATAGAGAAGGAAATCCTAATAAGGAAAGTGCACGTGAAATATGATACAAGCAAAACGATTTTGTACAAAGAAAGTATTTACTTCGAAATCCATATTGAGAATCCTATCAGCTTCATCCATCACAAGATACTTAATTGCTCGTAGGTTGAAACCCTTAGTATTTTCTAAATGGTCTACTAAACGCCCTGGCGTAGCTGAAACATTGAAAGTAATGCAAACGTGACAAAGGAGACTAACTGGAAAAACTGGCAGTGACTTACCGACGATTACATGAGGTCGCTTAGCCAATGCAAGAGCCTGAGTAGTCATGTCGATTCCACCAACAATAACGGCTGTAATGTGAATAGTAGGAAATAAGAAAAACAAAACACGAAAGGGAAGTGGTCAGATACTCACCAACCATCAAACCTATCCCAGCACCCAAGGCTTCAAATTGTTGCGCAATTTGAAAGGCAAGTTCTCTTGTCGGCGTAAGTACGAGAGCAAATAGTTTCTGAGGAACCTCAAGCAACGACTGCAGAATCGGAAGGGCGAACGCGCCGGTTTTACCGGAGCTGTATAGGGATTGGTATTTCACATAAATTCACAATTCATCAAACAATACACGTAACGACAGTGATGTTGAGATATTTGCAAAACTCCGGACGGCAGGTGTCTGCGGTGGGGAACGAACGCATTATTGTCCTTTACGGGTGCTAGCGCGTTCACCACCATACCAAGCATGCCCTTCGTTTCGTCTTTCTCAATACAGGTAACATTGGTAAGTGAAATCAACGTGACCAAGACCTACCCTGTTTCAGCAAGGCCAATAATATCCCTGCCACTTAGCGCATGCGGCAGAGCGGCTACCTGAATTTTTGATGGTGTTTTCCAATCCACTCGTTCGCAAGCCTCACAAAGTGGTTCACAGACACCCTTGAAAACAATGGAGTTGGTTGCAATGATTAGGCATAAAGAACAGAAAGTAAAAACTTCTCCATAGGCAATGAGCAATGAATAGAGGTGAGAAGCCAAAATGTGCTGTAGCTGTGGAAATAATCTACCAAAAAAAATCACGATGGTTTAGTGCCCCATCTTTACAAAGAATTATACAGTAGCCCTCAACGTAATCAACATTTGATCGACGAATTGCTGGATGAGCAGATTTCTTTTATCAATGAAGAGAAAAGCATGTCAGGCCATCCCCACAGACAGCCATGGACCCTTTCAGATAGAAAGACAGCCAACTTGAAACTGGGATTATCAGGTCACTCCCGCTGGATTGTTTCTCAGTTTCTATGATCCTGCTAAGGGGCCACACCAGCTTTAGATGTTTTGAAATTTTTCGGAAACTTTTATGGCTCCCATTGTTTCAGAGTTTTGCTGGTTTAGCCATTGTGGTTCCCTGGAATCCTAAGTACAGCCAGGCCAAAGTCTGTCTTCGTGGATAACAGGGAGACTTGCCACCACTCGACTAGTTGGGTACCACGGCGGTGGTAGATCCTCTTATTGGTTTACTCTGATCTGGGTTTCCTAATGGAAACGCTGGACTCCTCAGCTTAGGAGACCCTGTTGAGGTGATGAACCTGCCGCTGTACATCACAGCCCGACATCCATGAACACCTCTCAGGGACTATGAGCCGATAAACCGTTGGGAGGAGATTCAAATCAAAGCTAGAAAACCCATAATCACAGATAGCTTAAGGTCAAGTGATAATTCACCGAAAAAAAAAGAGGAAAAAAGATAAGGTGAAGAATTTTTGGCTAGAAACAAACAAAAACAAAATAGAAAGGAGTAACTAAAATTGAGTTTTATCGCCAAACTAACCAGTTCCTTGAAAGATTTCGGTGCTTCTTCTTCTAGTTCATTATCCTCTTTGTTCGCAGTGTTATCATCACCTGCAAAGATTCTGATAGTTGCGAATATAATGTGTACAAGAAATAAGACGATGTGCTTACCCTTAGGTTTTGTTAACCTAGACGGTTTCACGTTCTCTGCGGTTTCTGTGAGTTCTTCTCCTTCCGAAGACGAAGAATCCGACATCCAAAGCAAGCTTTCAAGAAATAACTTATAGAAAACCTTCTACAAACTGAACCATTACGTAAATGAAAACTTGTAAGATGTAGGCCAATATACAACGTTGGATTAAACGAATACGATCTCAAGAGTAGAAGGGTAAACAATCGCTTTGATCGGAAACTTGGAGGAATCTCCAGGAAGATTTAAAACCTACACCAAGAAAATGAAGAAACCTGCATTCCAAATCTGTACTAACCACACAGTGCTTCGTATTATTATTGCCCATGGAGCGCTCTTACTACGCTCACGTGATTCACACAACCTATTCGCAGCAACATGCGTTGATTTCAATGCATAACTGGGGGTTCAAGGTTGTCCGTTTCGAAAGCTGCTCTACTTTAACAGGACTAAACTCCTGACTGAACTTCTTCATTGGAAATTGTTGAACTCTGCTTACATCCAGCGAAACCTTTGAGGTGTAAATGGATAAAACCAATTAAAAAAATTTGGACCACGAATTTTCCCAACGAAGATCTTCAAAGCTAATTTCTTAGAATGAATTCGCGAATGCTAAAATTAGACATGCAACCAGGAAGTGGTGGAACTCAAATACCACCAAACATAGCGACAATGATGGGTGAATATTCCCAAGAATTAGGAATGGCGGTCACAGCACGATGATCTCGGCACGTGCCAGAAAGTGTGCATTCGCACGTGAACATATTGACTAGCATGGTCAAACTCTTCTAAAGTGATGATGCTCCTTCCAAGATTGCTAACGCGGAGGTTTCTTATGGCGTTTAGAGGTTCTCACATATGTGGTTCGCAGCAGTTCCATCCCTGTTGCCGGTTCGTGACTGTGGATGTGGTAGGATTCGCGAGTGGGTTCGGCTTGAATCTGCCGTCCATCTTTATTAACATACTGGCCGAGCGTTATTTTCCCAGTAATCCCTAGATCACAATTCTACACGACTACAACCTCAGAGGACGCGTGTGGCGCAGTGGTTGGAGGCGTGGAATAGTGGAATCGACCGCCGCGCCCATGGCCCACCAAGCCTTCCATCCCTCCGGGGTCGGTAAATTGGTACCAGACTTGTCTGAGAGGATAGCAGCACTGGCTTGACAAATCGGTAGGCCACCGCGAGTCATTGTAAAGGCCGAATATGTATTCAATCACCTCCAACGATACATAATGAAGTGAAATACGTGGCTCATCCCTCAGGGATTGACCAAACCCGAGAGCTTTATCCTTTAGCTTTTTACAACCTCAGCTTAACTGGGTTCATTGCCGATTTGGGCTCCCCAGATCAATCTAATTCCGTTGACGGGTGATTGCTGATGGCACTGATCGAGAGAAGTAGCTGAGAGACACGCGAAACGAAGGATCCGCATGGTGTGGTGGTGAGCGCGTTAGCCTCCGGAAAGGGTAATATCGCGTTCGTTCCCCATCCCAAACACCTGCGGTCCGGAGTTTTGCAAATATCTTAGCATCATTGTGGTTGTATCATTCATAATCCCGAGATCACCTGCTCTAGAGCGTTCCCAGGTCGTTACCAAAAGTGATCGCCCGCCTTTATGAATAAAAGAGATATTTGTTGCTCCGTAATTCAAATTCTTACAGGAGAGCAGAGCTTCCCGTTTAGGTAGAAAATCCTTGTCCAACGATGTTGTCGATAACAGCATCTTCCTCGAAGCTGACTTGTGATTTGAATAAATTCCGACTAATCCTTTGACTGGAAGGTATAGCGGAGTAGTTAGCGACGTAGTTCGTTAGAAAGCAAAGCATCGGTGCGATCCCCACCCAATCCACTTGAGAGCGCCGTAGCAAGGCTATCTCCAAGATTGCAAGGAGAATCGACTTGAGCAGAATTCTACGACATTTGTAAAGAAGAGGGTATACTCAAGAAGCAGACGAATCAACACAGGAAATGTTTGAAGACCTTCGCGGGAGATGAAGGTGAAGAAAACGAGTCAAATGTAAGATGTGCTAGGATCCACACAGTAGCTGTAATAATGGGTCACGTAAAAAAAACCAACTGACCGATTGAGTACAATGTGAGAGGCCATTAGATGGGCTGAAAGTTGCATTTATTTATTACATGTACAAAAGAGCATAAGTGCGTCTTCCATGAGAGTACGATCAATAGATATTATCACCATGTAATTCTAATGTATTGACCAACTACTGAAGCCCTAGCATCGTTTTGCAACGTAGCTCATAATTTTTCGCTTCTGTTGTAAGAACTTTAAGATATTATCAACCAACTGGTGCGCATGTAGTGCAGTGGTTTTAGGCGCCCAACACACGTAGAATCGATCTTCAGCCTAAGGCACATCAAGCCAGCCATCCTTATTGCTACCAGACTTGTTTCGGAGGATAACAACACTGACTCCAAGCATAAATAGGCCACCGCGAGTCATTTTATAGGCCAGATATGCATTCAATCACCTCCAACGATGCTTAGTGAAGTTAAATCCGTGACGCATTCCTTAGGGATTGGTGATAGCAAAGAGCGTTTATCCTTTTATTGGCCAACTCAACTATTAAATCACCTTAATAACTGGACGTAGTTTTTGTGCATTGCCAAAATTCACTAGCGCCTTTCCAGTCAATGTCGAGTTGCAAGGGACGTCGTCCTCGGAGTAGGCTTGTGTTTCCGTTGTCGCACACAATTTGTTCGTTTGCGTAGGTTCAGATGAACTTTCTGAGGAAGTTCAACGAAGCGATGTTATTCATTCATCTTATAGAGAGAAAATTTCTCAATGTTTGCCATGTGGCATTAGATTGCTACCTGCACGAACTGGCTTCGTTGTTACTACTCGAAGTAACAATCGGTGGTCTCAAGCAAACACCTTTCATGTTTTTGTATTTAACTTAATCCAGAATATCTCTGTAACCTGGAACTTGTGCTACAAGATCTGGGTTACTCTATGATGAGATGCAAAGAGAATTATTTATGGGTTAGGTTAACCCCGCCAAAAGTTGTAATGCGTCTAAATATGCACTTATGTTGATGCTCAAACCCTTTAATAATGAAGTGGTTGAGCTCAGTTGAGCGCTCTCCGCCATGGACTAGTTGCGTTAGTTTTCCCGCATGTTCCCATTAGATATTCAGCAATCTGCATAGTTAATTTATTATAGGAAGTTGTAAATGGTCAAAGAAGTTGCACGAGTAGGTAAATTCGATAACTCTCATCTGCACCAATGACTACACGAAAACCCTTATGTATATATATATAAAGTATAACGATTTATGCACACGGATGTACAGATATTTGCAAATAAATGCACATTTTTACGTTTACATACATACATACATATTTGTTTACGTCACCCGTATTAGGGATATTTTGCGGATCCCAGCACTTGCATTCGATTCAGTTCCTCGCATCCATCGTCCTTGAAGGGTTACCAACTTTTTCGTTGGATTCGGCTACTGCTTCGTGAATTTTCTTTCCTCAGGAGTGTATTTTAATGCTGGTCCAGTCAATTGTTCCTGGAGCCCTAAAACTAGAGATTTCATACTTGAATCACAGAGAATACTTTTGCCTAGAAAACTTTGCCTACATAAGTTTGGTGCCAATTTCCCGATGCCGGAAACATAGGAGGCTTGGTGGGCACGGGGCGGGGTCGAAGCCGCACTGTGCCAATGGTGTAGGCATCACTACCGCTGCGCTACCCGCGACTTATTATCCAGAATACTTCCTATTATTCGGAATCGTCTGCTTCCTATTTTGCATTAGTTTTCTTCTCCATTTTTCCGTAATTCAAAAGATTTTGTTGTTTGCTAGGAAACGAGGTTTAATGTACTTTTATTTCCAAACTTAAATTATTTTCTGAGGATTCCAATCTAGCCGATTTCCGTTTTGTTTACTCTACTGCTAATGAAATCAAGCAACTACTGTAAATTCCACTCAAGATTTTTTTTATAGAAAATTTTTTAGCCTTTCATTTCTCCTTAATCTTTATTTTCATTGTAAAGAATACATAATATTTACTGCATGCGAATCGTTGACCAGCCTCAAGTGTTACGTTCCGGAAGTATCCAGAACTACCTTTATTCCTTCAGTCCTTAATATAAGAAGTGTTGATTTAAACGACTATAATACAATGGGCTCTCCCAGTTTTCCTTTGTAGTAGTCTGCCTTTGTGTTTCATCGAAGCAGTTGCTTCAAAATCTTATAGATAATAAGCAAATGAATTTGTCATATATTCTAATCAGTAACTGGTGCACTTCATGACAGACGCTTTCGTAGTGTATTATTTTTGCCCACCTTCCGCTAAGCTAAATAAAAGGATGGAGAGTTCAGTGTTGATCAATCCCAGAGGGATGTGCCATGAATTTAACTTCACCAAGTATCTTAGAGCTAAGAGAATGTACCCGGTCTATGAAATGGCAAGCGGTGGCCTACCGATATATCGACTCCGTGCTCCTTATCCTCCTAGACATGTTTGGCACCATTTTACCATTCTCGGAAAGAAGGAAGACTTGGTGAGTCCGAGGTACGAGGTCGAAGCAGTGACTGAGTTTGTGTGCGTTGCAGGGCACCTCTAATCACTACGCCACACGTGTCATAAACCAAACAAGTAAATCGACAATTGAATAAACAACTTCTTCGTGTTTTCTTTTTCTCTGCAAATTTTGACAGAACGAACTTTGCAAACCATCCAATCCGCAGCGGTGGTTGATTACTTCTGGTGACTACGTGGGAACACCATGAGATGATCAACTCGTGAAGTGAAAATTGTGTTGTGGTAATATCCAATAGTAGTTTTTTTTGGGCTGTACCCATTAAAAACCATTCTTTCTAAAATCCTTTCCTCTAACGATAATATGTGGAGCTGATTATTTTACGAGGATCTACGAACTTATTAAATTAACATGCTTTTTTGTAGTACATCTCTCGATTCAATTTTCTTCAAGTATTCTGCCAAGAACAATGACACAAACACCATGAACAAGTGGCACACCGGTTCGAAATGATCGTGTATTTCAAGAGAAACATTAGCTGAAAAGCGCTCT